TAAAAATCATGAATCACAAAATGATCACAACATTTAGATTTCTAAGAATTGGTTAATGATTTGTCATTGCATTCATCGCTAACTTATTTCAAACATTAATACAAGTCTCGACTGAATTTAATTAATGTTTTTGTTTTAATTATACTTTTGCTGAATAATATTTATAGTTGTTTTCATGACTACAAACTGAATTCCTAATGAAAATGCTATTAATAAATATCAGTAAAGAGTGTCTTATTTTGTAACGAATGACAATCTATTTAAATCAGTTGTTTTGTTTCAAACCATTGATTTTTAATTCTTGTTTTAGTTTTAGTTTTTATCGCAATTTTACATATAATTTGTAAAAACCTATAACTGAAAAAAGGATTCTTTAAAACTGTTTTGATTCTGTAGTTCCTGTTGTCAGCAATACATTACATATTATGACATAAATAGTTATTATGCAATAAAATAGTGAAAACCCATTCAATATATTTATGTAATCAAAAATTAATAAAATGCTGTCGTTTTTGGTTAAAAACGTAAACTTTTATTCAATAATTTGTCAAAGAATTACAATAGAATCGTTATTTTAATTGTCAATATATTATAAATGTTACTTAAATTGACATGTAGTTTATCATAAGTGTTTTACACACATAGTAATCTACTTTACGCAAGTGTTATATAATTATAAGTAAAATAGTTATTAAATTAAATCAAAACAAGGGAATATTCAAGGAATTTAATAAATATTACCGAAAGTTATTGCACTCTCTATTTCACCCGTTTTTCTATGTGTTTGTGATATATTTATACCAGAGATGGATATATATATTAAATATATTTATAAACATATCTCTCGTCAAATGATTTTAATATTCCGACAAAATTTTGTCGTCTGTTTTTCCCTCTTTTCGCATCGCTTTTATCTTTCGTCTAAAATATATATTAAAGTCACTCTTAAAGTGCAATAATAATCAACAAAATAAAAACTAGAATACAATAAGTGCTAAGAGCTGTACAAATGGGTTATATTATTATTGTATACTTTTGCTCGCATTCTCTCTATTATAGTGTAATTTAAGATTCATTTGCAGAACCGTATGGTTTGCCTTACATTACACTCAATCTTCTGTATTACACACCAATTGCTGTATTAGTGTTCAGTAGTATTGGCTTTATTACAGACTAATACCTGAGAAAAGACTCTCTCTTTTCCTCTCAACTATTCTTTGCGAGTCTTTTCCCTCTTCTTCTTCTCCTAACAGTTATATTACATTTGCGTTCAGTTTTCTCTTCTTCACAGTTAATGATCAGTTTGTTTGGTCTGTTGTCTGACTTTATTATTACTTTAATTTAATACAATATTTCTTTCATTATTATACAGTTAAACCTCTATTTACTGTTTATTCTCTCCCAAAACAGTGTCTAAACATTATATTTGAGTACATTTTCCTTATTTATAGCACTATTTTATTATTTAAAGACTAAGCAAATTGTAATTCATTTCATTCATTCATTAAATTGTAGACAAAAATGAATAATAAATTTAAAAATTGATTACAAAAAAAGTTAATTGAAGTTTCGGTGAACAATAAACGAGAGAAAAATACAATAAATAAATTTTCTATTGAAACTAAAATGTAAACAATTAAGTAATTAATTTGAGTTTAAATTTCTAATGCAATACTTTTAATGCAAAATTAATTAAATGAATGGTATTTTAATTTTCAATTACATTATTATACGGACAGAAAGACTGCACGCATGAGGAGGTGTTTTACGGCATTCACTGCAATATCAATAGCTATTCGACACTATATGACAGAATTCACAGCTTTTTACTGTCGATTCAATAATTTAATTATAATTGTCTGTCATTTCAATCGACAATTGCCTGTAAAATGTTTTAGGAGATGAAAATATTCGCAAAATATTGATATAAAACACTGTATAAGGGATTGCACTGAAAGGCAATAAAATTACATAAAAGTATTGCATTTTAAAAACATTTTAATAATTGAATGAAATGTATTTCAAGTAACGAAACAATTCTTGTTTAAAACCAAGTATTTTTTCAAATGCATTAGTCTTACAGTAATTGCTTTTAAACTATTTTCTCAATTGATTTTCTTATAATTAATTTTATGGCTTAAATTCCGTTTCCAATGATATATTAAACGAGAATTTTTTTGTTGCCGTAATTAAATGTATGTTTTTTAAAGTCAATTTGTAAGTTATGATGTGTATTATTAGTTGACTGACACATTGGTTTGACAAAAATGTTTATTATTATACAAATTGTTTCGTGTATTTGTCCTGTTTTTATATATTAAATATTTGATTAAATGGTGTTTGAGTTTATGGGAGACATAAATATCCTACCGATTGGTTTCGAAAGGCGAGTCCCCACTCGCGTAACCGCTGGACCCGTCGCACACCTCAACCAACTCTTGCGTTTGTCTCTTAATGTGATCCAAAGAAGTCATTTGATTGAGGTTTGCGAATACCATCCGCTCCTCGTAATCGTATTCACACAATATCTTATTGTCGTATAAGTAGAAGCGGTCGCCGACACAAAACCTCTGTGTTATTTGTGTTTGCAATTTACAGATCGACACACAAAATAAAAAACATACATTAATATTCAAATTGGTATTTAAATTACATGTCAATCAATAACAAGAAAATTGTTTTTAAATTAATTTAATGGTAAGGAATATGTAATTACATGAGAACAGGCCTCGCATTTGAAACATTCCAAGTGATACACATTTCCTATTAATATAATGGAAAAAATAAATATAAAATATATATTTTTAATTAATTTATTAATGTTTTTCTCTCCAATTTTCTTATCGGCAGAAAATTTAATTTCGTAAAAATTCTGAACGCATTTAATGTAAAGAATTTATTTTTCTTTAATAAGAAACGAGAGTTTTATTATACGAATTGTTTGGGCTTTTGTGTTGATTGAAGTTATATTAAAACTAATTTATTATTTAATAAAATAAACATAAGTCGAGCTAATCGTTGCATTAAATTAGTACTGAATTTCTCTCTCCTTTTGATTGAATCAAATTCTTATTCACTTTAATTAAAATATCATATTTTGAGCGATTATTTCCGTTCTTTCCGTACATAACAAAAGCGAAAGTTAATTAATTTTTCATTTTTCTCCTCAAATAATAATATTAATAATAACTAAAGATTTCTTAATTTATGGCTAAGAGTTGTGCAGAAGTATTGTTAATAATATTGTTATAACACAAGCGCTAAAAGTCGTATAAAATCGGAGATTTTGAGTTGTTTATATTTATCAAACTGTCTACAGACTGAGAGTGGAGAGCGAGAGTATTGGTAAAGTTTGCGGCCCTAAACAAATAATGTGCGTCTCGTGTCTGGGCAGCGGGGTTTGTAGGATATAAACAAATACAACAAATTGTGTGAATTTTTTACAATTAATTATTATTATTGTTAAATATAAATTGTTTGCTTTTGTTATTGTATGTCAAATTGTTTTCATCTGTATATTTGTTATGAAATATATGATATATTTAGCCATATATTTGTGATATATTCACAAATTAATGTCATATATAATTGAAAAAGTAATTAATGTATTTGAATGGAAAAATGCCAATAACTTAACAATAAATCGATTCATTCGTGTATTTCAACAGTTATTTAAATAAAGATAATTTTGTTAAAACAAGACAAATAAACTGAAATAATAATAATAATGGTTGCGTTGATTAATTGCAGTCATATAACAACCAATGAAGTAAAACTAATCCTAACTTCACGTGATATCTAATTAAATCCTGAACTCAAAGAAATACTTAAAAGTAGTTTTTTAAATTAAAACTAAAAATAAGATCAAATTAATAAAACCGAGAAAAATGAATTATTTTCAAAGATATTTATCATTGAATTTCTGGATTAAAATTTGTAAAAAAGAGGAAAGAATTTGTAATTAGTTTTGATAACATTTTTCAGAGGAAGGAATTACAAGCGAATAAATATTTGGATTGAAATGTAATTATCATTGAATAATAGGGAGAGAGAAAGAAATATATGCAGTGGACTCTATTAGCGCAAATGTCTCATACTCTAGTCGAAACCACTTCTCTCACCTAGGCTGAAGCGGCTCTGCTGTCAGTGTTGTTTGTGTAAACTCTGTTAGAAGCACGGTCTCTACCAGCTCACGTTTGAGTAGATATCGCTCTTTAATGGCTTTGTGACAGCCGTAACACTCGGGAGCATTCGTTGATCCGCTTTTGGCTGTCGATACACTTTGTAGGGACGAGACGTGTGTAATGTCATTACTAGTCATGTTGTTTTGGGCCGCATTGCCGGCGCCGTGACTCAGGCCACTGCCGGCCGACATGTTTGGGTTGTTGGCTGCGGTGGTGGCGACGGGTGGGCACGCGTTGGCACCCATACCGCTACTACTGCTACCGCTATTACCGCTCATGTTTTGCTTTGAATTATTCAGCGACTTATTTATTGCTGACATTTTGCTTTTTGATCTCATAATAAATTTGAACACAGAATTGCTTTCAAACTCACAAAACAAGACAATTCACAAGTAATGCACAACTTATGTATCGCACATCAGATGAAAAATGCACGACTATTATAGCATTAAGCGAATGGTCGGCAATAGTTTAGCGCCGGTATATTATATAAGCCGTTGGTTTATTTTGGCAACACTTTAACTTAATAAAAGTTTTTGTCACTCATTACTGGCTATAACTTATTGTTTGATGAGTTTTATTGCCTTCTCATACAATGACAACACTTTTTCTTATTTCTTCTCCAATTGAAGAGATGAAGAATAATATGAGAGGAGAAAAACTCGCGGCAAACTAGCCGTACGAGTGGTGTATTGGTTGTATGGCTTGTATGGGCTCACTATTCGCACCGTAACGTCAAGTGTTGGCACAAATATTCTGTTAGCGAGAGAGAAGTGTTTTGCGTCCTATCGTTAGCTCTGCTGTCAAACAACTGAATCGACGAATGCATCCGATGTTTAAGTGCAGTGCTCTCCCAATACTCTGCTCTAACATCACTGCCATCACAACCATTACCACTGAGAGAGAAGACCCGTTCAATAAACACCAGAGCACTACTGCCTCTCAGCACACGTGCGCCGACACTCACTGCAAACCACTCTCCCTATGACTTCACGTCGAGTATTAAACTAATGAAATTTCACCAAAACTTTTAGCGCAATTTGAATCGTCTTTATTATTATTATTATGATTAGTATTTTTTAGGGAATTTACAATAAGAACAAGTAGTCAAATCTCTACGGCATACAGAATTATCGGCTCTCTATCTTCAATAGCGAATAAGTTGATTAAAAAAACTTTGAGGTTCATTAAAACATTTGAACATTAAAAATATACATATGTATGATATACTGTGTATAAAGTTTACGATAAATTTATAGCTTGTTTTTTTGGTTCAAATTCAACGTCTTGTCTACAGCTGTGTTCAGAATAAAACATTATTTTTTGTTTAAGAAAAACCATATTTTCTTTTAACATAATTACTATAAGAATGAGTAATATTTATGAACAAAACATTACAGATTTTCCCCCATTATTTCATTATCGCTGCAAATAATGAATTACAACTAAAAATTCATTTAAAATCTATTTTTCTGCCTTTGAATTTGAAAAAAAGTTATTAAAGAGCAAAAGTGTATATAAAATGATTTGTAAGTAGTTTTGAATAGAGAGAATGAAGAGACTGTCAAACATGTAATAGTGGAGAGAGAGAGAGAGAGAGAGAGCAGAGTATTGGGAGAGCACTGCACTTAAACATCGGATGCATTCGTCGATTCAGTTGTTTGACAGCAGAGCTAACGATAGGACGCAAAACACTTTGAGAGAGAGAGAGAGAGAGAGAGAGAGAGAGAGAGCACTCCCACAGACTCGCAGATATCACGGATAGAGTGATGCGAGCGTTTGATTGATCAGAGGCTCAGCTCTAAACACATATTCTCTATAATATAATATGAGTTTATATGAGAAGCGTATGAAAAGAGGAGAGAGAATTGAAAGCCTATTAATTGAGCAGCAAATTAATGCCTTGAGGTAATGGTCACAACTGGGTATAAATGGTTCGCCAATTTAGTTGTCACGCTTCCTATGATTGAATGCATTCACCTCAACATCACCTCAATATTACCTCAAATTACATCTCACACCATATCTCAGACCTTATCATTCTTGGTCTCAACACTTGTGTCTCATTATTAAATTTTTATTTTGTTGTTGTATTATATGTCCATATATTGCCTTTTATTGGATTTAAATTACATTGATAAAATTGATTATAAATTATAATAAACATACGGTAAACTAATCGTTATATTTTATTTATTACAATGTAACACAAACTTAATGTTTAAAATGCTTAGAAAAACTATTAGTTCATATGTAACTACAGTTAGTAAATATATCAAGTGTTTAGTAAATATATTAAATGCAATATTCTAATTGATATACAGTATTAACAAGATTTGATAAATTGTTTAATGTTTAATACATTTTACAATTACATATAACAAAAATATGTTGTGTTTTACATACAATTCAAAAGAATTGTTATTTAATAGCCCCATAATTGAGCAGCAAATTAATGCCTTGAGGTAATGGTCACAACTGGGTATAAATGGTTCGCCAATTTAGTTGTCACGCTTCCTATGATTGAATGCATTCACCTCAACATCACCTCAATATTACCTCAAACCACATCTCACACCATATCTCAGACCTTATCATTCTTGTGCTCAACACTTGTGTCTCATTATTAAATTTTTATTTTGTTGTATTGTCCATATATTGCCTTTTATTGGATTTAAATTACATTGATAAAATTGATTATAAACATACTGTAAACTAATCGTTATATTTTATTTATTAGTAATAAATTATTACAATGTAACACAAACTTGATGTTTAAAATGCTTAGAAAAACTATTAGTTTATATGTAACTACAGTTAGTAAATATATCAAGTGTTTAGTAAATATATTAAATGCGATATTTTAATTGATATACAGTATTAACAAGATTTGATAAATTGTTTAATGTTTAATACATTTTACAATTACATATAACAAAAATATGTTGTGTTTTACATACAATTCAAAAGAATTGTTATTTAATAGCCCCAGAGATAAAGAGAGTCTGAAATAAATTATACAAACATATAATAAAATGGTTTGAATTTCATTTCATTACATTAATTAAATTTTCTATTTTGTTAAAAAGCCATTAATAAAATATTGCCTTATTTTCAATTATTTTATTAAAAAATTGTTTTTATTGGAAAATACATAAATTTAATATTAATTTAATAGAAAAGCTAATTTCATATTATATTTTATGTGCTCTAGAATTCAATAATTCATTTGAAAATTATTTAGGAATTAATTTCAATTCATTCTCATTGATCATAAGCCCTCTAAAACAACATTTTTTACCATAATAAATATTAAAGTTAGAATCGATTTTAAAATTCAATTATAGACATCAAATATTTATTTAATACTAATCATAATCTAGTATTCTTCACATCAAATGTAATAAAAACAAAATTATTTCATTAAAAATAGGAAAAATAAATTAAAAATGAATTTTTAAAATTACATTTTGTCATAATATGTAATACACTATTTGGATATAATGTACGTATAGTTACTATAGTATGCATAAAGCCTTAAAATATTTTGTTTGTAGAGTTTAAGCTGATTGAGAGATGGATTTATTTTTAGATTTTTCTAATTAATAAAATAACTCTATTATTGTTATTAAAGTAATGTATAATATTTGGTAGAATCGGATGAAACACAAAATCTCTTAACGATTATTATATACAGATTTTTGGGCTGAAAATGAATGAATCGTTTAATGTGCAGAACTCTGTCTTAATTTAATAACAATTTTCTAACTTTTTTATGGCATAACTCGATATACAGTACTGTTTGTAATCATTTGATGCATGACTTGAATTAAAGGCTAAAACCTCTTCTCTCGAACTAATATTAATCAAAACAATTGTTTCGATAATTTGAAAGCTTTTTAATGAGATACAAAATTTTGCTTTTTCTTTGCTTTTGCATTAATTGGATTTTTCCATACACTTAATGAAAATGCTTTGAATCGGCAAACAGTGCAGACATTGCAGATATACAGCCAATGCATTGCATACGAGTAATTGAAACTCAAATTAAAGCAAATTATATATACTGTATGTATGTATGTGTGTGTCTGTCGTATGTGAGCGCAAAAATAGTTAAACAGTTGTTTCAAATGGACTAAAATTACACCAAAAAGAGTACTGCATATATAAAATAGTTGTCGTATTCACCGATTTTTACACAATTTATTCAAATTAGTTATGCCTTAAAATGCGAGCGCACGTCGATTGGCATGAAATCATTGCAATAATGTCTATAATTTATCCGATCCTTCAATGAAAAAGCAATCAATTAAAATAAGCTCTTATTTTCGGTGCAGAGTTCACTAACACTGCAATTAATAGCCATAATATGGGTATTGTTTTTAGGAGTTTTAGTGTCCCACCGGTGCTGTCACAGCGATGGCAGTGATGGCCAAACACAGGCCCGCAAATGACAAACCAATTTACTGGCAATCATTGGCAAAACCGAGGCATACAATCATCTCTCCATTTGCCAAAATGATAGCCAAAGAATTGGCATTCAATCGTTTGAATCGTTTTCTCTTACTCTTCCCATACAATGCCCGCAATCTATGCAATACATCATTACTGCAATCAAATCGATTGTAACCACAATTGGATTGCATTTTTCATTTGCTCTCATACTTCACACAACCATTATTTTCAAATCGTTTTTGAATATATATTTCTGTGATATTCGTATTGAATGTCATTATAAATAGAAATATTATGCAAAATACATATTAAATGTTACTTCTATTTAAAGAAACAATAGTTAAGTGAGACATAAATCAACAAATTAATGAATTTCTGAATATAAATGTTCTCTCTCTCTCTCTCTCTCTCTCTCTCTCCATATTATTATATTGTATTCACTATTTATCTATTAATACATATTTTGTTAATAACAGAATACTAAACACATTGTATATACTATTTGATCAATTATTAAACGATGTATTTTACAAACTCATTGATTGCATAAAAACCTGTGTACAGTGTAGTAGTGTATAGTATGGAGTATTTTATAGAGTAAACCCTCGGAACAAATGCTTACATAATTATAATGTATTTTGAAGGCGCGGGTGGCTATTAATTATGTGATATTAATCCATTGCTTGAGTACCACAACGAGCCCTTTAATTATTATTTTTTAGTTAAAGTGTTTAATTGTATTAATAAGAACTTTGACTCAAACACCGGGACTCAAACTGGTTTAACACAAAGTCCTATCGCTTATGAGTCGTTAATCATAAAT